AAAAAAGACTATGAATTGGATTCAGAATGATAATCAAAACGTAGATAGGGTCGATCGACAACCCAAAGCTTGACAGTCATTATTACCTCTTCATTGGTCGGCATTTTATTCCATAATGTTACACAGTTTTGATGCTGTTTTATGTCTGATGATCGTGTTAGAATACATGTGGAAGCATCTGTTGTTTCGGTTTCTTCTTCACTTGTGTTTTTTGGAAATTCTGTACAGAAGATGTGTACTAGCCCCCTACAGTATAACAATGAAAACACGGATTCTAGGAACACAAGTATAGCTCAAATATATTTAGACTTTTTCTAAGTATAAGTCAAGTATACTTAAATGTCATTTTAAGTATATTTCTGATAAGTACATAAAGTCCATTTCTGAGAAGTACATAAAAAGTAGACTAAAAGTATACTTTCCTATTTTTAGTTTAAAAGAAGTATACTAATAGCACACTTGAATAAACTTCTTTTTCGTAAGGGTAGACATAAACTCGTTTTATTAACAGTTATAAAGTGTCTACAGTAGGCTACACACGTACGTTCATCGTTGAATGTAGGCTAATAATAAACTGAATTGTGCATCTGGATTTTACTTTTTGGAGAAAAACACATTTGCTATGTGTTCTGAAAGGTTATTGTTAGGGGAGACCGTGTATGATTATAACTCTTTTTGTTTCAGCATCTGTAACTCGCTGAATTTTTGAGCTAGAGTAAGCTACACAAACTTTTATTCAAAGCACCCACATTTGTTTACTACAAAAGACACCAATTCAGACCTCTACAAGAATATCACAGCCAGCCCTTACAAGCTGATGTCAAATACGGGGAGTGCCGCAATCTACCCCACTGCCGGGGTATATGTTGTAACACTACTGGGGTACATTGTAACAGACAAAATTAGCAAAAACAGCAGCTGCTTCAAAAGCAAGAAGTTGCTTCAAAAATATGTTTATTGAAACAATCTAAAAGAACAATACAAAATATTGTTTTGCTTTCTGTGACTGACCACAGCTCAAATCCACTTTCTGTTTGATGCCAGGAGCGTGTGAGTGTGTCTGTAAGTTAGACTACTAGAACATGCCTTCCTTAACTGCATTTATGCGAACACTCAACTCCAGCGTACTGAGGTAAAGAACATGTAGATCTAAACAAAAAACTGTGTAAAGGTTTGTGTGAAATTTGTGTCTGGTGACAAAACAATGTTTTTAACCCTAGAGTGCAGGCTTAGTGGATCCAGAAACTGCATTGGGCATATTTTACCCACACTTCCATTGGCATTGAGCTTCCAAATGGCTCCACATAGACAACACGAAAGTTCTCAGTTGTATGTAAGTGGATGCTAAAATGTGTTACAACTTACCCCACCCCTGTCATCCAGTGTTTAGCTAGCTGTCTTAGCATGTTGGTTTGAAATGAGCAATTTAAAAATGCATCACATTTTGCTTGATAATCTACAATTTATTCTAAATTTATATGATTTTATCTGCAACAGTTTAAGTACTAAACAATGTACCTATGTACGTGCATATACCTATTTACAGCACTGACAACCATTCATATAAGATTGGGAAGGAAGTGGGTAAATAATGAAATGATCATAGGACTCCTAGTCCTAGTTTATCCCTGATTGGTGGAAATGTTGTTGTTACAACTCTCCCCAACAACCATACCCATTGATGCGGGGCAGGTTCGATGTTAGAGCGTTAGGTAAATGCAAAGGTGATGATTTTACTGTATATTTTGCCAGGCAAACGAAAGAAAGAAAGAACACTGTCTAAGATAGGCTATACATAATTATCTGTGCAACTAGTTGTTTAAATGTTTTGAAAACGCACACATTTAAGTGTTCTGAATGGTTTTAGCGTGTTATGCAAATTTTTGTGGTATTCAGTGCATTACTGGGTAGTTATACCCTCCTAACAGGGAGGGAACGTTCTTTGGGAACTTTGGCTAACGTTCTGGCAAGGTTCTTTCAGAAGTTATGTACAAATGTTCCTCCACTAACGTTCATTCAGAGTTATCTGGTCTTTAAATATGTTCTCAAAATGCTAGCACAAAAAGATTATGTTTCATTTCTGCAATATTTTAGGTGGACATTTGTATAACGTTTTTTCTTTTTTAAATGTTACTAGTCTTGTTTTAGTACCTTCAGAGAACATTCAAAAGCAACGTTTCCATAACCTTTGCAAAATTATAAAATGGATTGTTCCCTTAATGTGTACATACAAACATTTTCACATTTACAAAACTGGATGTTTTGAACATTCAGAAGTAACATTTTCATAATATAGGCTAATGGTAACTTAGCAAAAGGTTCTTAGAATATATTTGGTTAGCTGGGTAGGTGATTGCATAGAGCCCACGTCTGTAAATGTGGCTTAGGTCTGTGCTTCAGTGTAAGTCTGTGTTTTTCCCCCTGCTGGCTTTATACAGGATAAATAAATAAATAAGGCACTGGTCATTTTTTCTCCAACTTATTGTACTATAGACGAAAATAGCATGCACTTTCTCTACCAACCAAGTAGCCTGGTTGAATGGTTATAAGTGCAGATCAAAGTCTGACTGATTATGTTTATTCTTTCATTTCATTCTTCCTTCAGTTATCCTATCATCCCAGAGATGGCTTTTAATAGGTAGCAACTGGCATTTGTTTGGAGTAGCACCCTCCAGCTCTTGGTGACTCCCGTTAATTGTAGCTACAGCATTCCTCCGTTTGATTCTGTATTTATCAGTCTGTAGTGCGGTTAAAGGTCTTGAACCAGCAGGGCTTTGTAATTGCATGGCAGCAGCACATTTTTCAAATGTTTCCCCCTGTGTCAACACTCCGCCACCTGTTTTACACCCAATTACTGTGCAACAAATTACCCTCTGACAGGCACTGACAGGAAATCTGATCCTGGAAAAGCTGCTTCAATTTGGAAAATTAAGACCTTGATGGAGAATTCCTTGGGAACGTGGTTTGTAAAAATATTTAATGAAACTTTAAATTAATATTCTATAATTCTTGCACTGCACACTTGCTTATTATAGCAATGGCATCTTCTAACTAAGTTCAAAGAAGGCTATTAGCATTTAACAGTGACTTGAATTTCACACTTGCCTTTCACTTTCTTGCTGATGTCCACCATGATTTTTGTCCTCAATATAGCTTGAATACAATTAGCCACCACACTGAAACGAATCATGAAACTCCTGTGTTCAGCAATAACAAAAATAGCCGTTTACCAGCTTCCCACATGGGCTGCCCAACAGAATCATATTTCTGACCAGTGGTTAAGTTTTGCACTCAAGAAAAACAGCTCTGACGTGTTTTTGAGGAATACGGACAGGTTGAAATACAGTAGCATATTCATGACTTGGTTACTAAAGAAAGCAGATCGTGTTCATGGTTTGTGGAGGACCAGAGACGTTTAAGTAAATAAATAAATAAATAAATGGGGTTGGCGGTTATAGACTGAAGGTGGTTTGTTGAAGCCTCTGATTGCAGGGATGCTGTTAGGGACCTTTTGAAACACCTTTATAGCTTTGTGGTAGTAAAAACCAGCCTAAGTAGCCTATACAAGTTCTTCAAGTCTGGAGATTTGGAAGTAGTACTTGATTTTTAACAACTACTCTCTGAGCATGGTACCAATGTTTGTTCGTAAGTATAGGCTATACTTCCAGACAGATCATGCAGCACTGTGTGGCCTGTTTGGGATTGCAAATGAAATGGCAAACTAAACACTGGTAACAAATGACAGATACACATAAAGAAAATAAATATTTCAGCGATTCAGTTCCGATTCCTTCCATGCTGAAAAAAAAAAAAAAAACTATAGAAATCATCAGAGAATTTGTAAGGGTTTAACTGGTTATAATGAGAATTGTATTGTTTTCATGGAAACTGTAATGGTCTCTGCTGGTAATTGGTCGCCTATTGGTGGCTTGTTAAAACCACTAAATTCAACAAAATATGTCCCAAAACACACTACAGGAAACCATTTTTAATGGTTTTAATGATTAATTGTTGATGGTTTGTAATGATTTTAATGGTATATAGTCAAAACCAATTGAATTTCTGTGATGGTTTTATTGTTTTTTCAGCAGGGTTGAAATGATTCTTTAACTATATGAACAACCAGTCTGTCTTAAGTCTCACAATTATTACTGGTTTAGTATTAGTAGGCTATATGTTTTTGATTTTCTGAAAAGAACAGATTCATTACAGTCATTCGTTTGAGACCACCATGATCACTTAGTTTGTTTTAGTTTCGC